GGCAGGTATTTCTCTCACAGAGCCTCGGAGTTTCTTCAAACCAATTGTTCAGTTAGTTGTAGCTAAGCGCTTAAAAATTTCCACCACTTATCTTGTTAAAAAAAAGGAATAATAACATACTAGCAAAATGTGAAAGATCATTTTATCAGCATCTACTCCTGATAAAGATGGTACTTTACTTTTTAAATACTATATAATTAATAAAATGTAGATTTTCAATTTGATTTAAGCAATTAAATTGAAATCCTCATTATCAATTTACTCATTACAGAAGTAACTTCTGTTGCTTTTGCCTGCTTTTAATACAAAAGAAAATTGTGTGAATTGAGTTGATTAATTGGTCCTAATTTTGAAAAACTTTTTAGCTACTGCTTATATGTCCTCTACATAATTTCAATCAATTAATCACTGTTATATATATACTTTTTATACCCTATAGGTAACTTCAACTACTATGAACAAAGAAGCTCCAAGTTCAACTAATGTAATCCTTTGCTAAATCTCCTTTTCACTTTGTTAACAGTGATGGCACACATTTCTGTGATAGAATTACTAAATCAGTGAATTTAGAAAACCAGAAATTTATTACCTTAATTTTAAACATTTATTTAAAAATAAGTTTCTAATTAAAATTGCTGTGCCAAAATTCAAATACATATGAGTTGCTTTGCCTTTGAGACTTAAACTCTAGAAACAAAAATTTTAAGTTTTAAAAATGTATACTTCCTCTGGATAGAGTTAAAATCTGTGAAAGATTAGTAATTCTTAAAAATTGTGCATTTATTATACCTTAACACACCAAAATTATTAGCAAAAATTATCTTTGAAATAAAAATAAAAGTTGGCAATTATTTTTTTTCCAATATTGTAACATTTATTATCTAAACATAAATCGTTTAATTTGAAAGTACAATTCACTTTGAAAATACACAAGGTATATTCCACAGTATAATGATAATGTATTCAGCTGAGAGATAGTGTAGTTATAGGAAATTTGGCAGTTTATTAGATAAGCAGATTTAAACAAATATCATACTTTAAATTCTAATATAGAATAAGCAGTCATCATTCTGTTTTTACTCTTTCAAATGATACAATTGCATATAAATGACTAAAATACTAGTGAAAAGTTCAAGTTGACCCCATTTTATTTAAAAAAAAACAAAACACTGCTGTGCTGGAGTCGGATCCTACTCATAGCAATCCCTCCTTGGGTTTCTGAGGTCATATCACTACAGAAGTAGATTGCCCAACTTTCCTTCCGAGGAGTGGCTGGTGGGTTTGAACTGCCAGACTTCTAGTTAGTAGTCAAATGCCTTAGGCACTATGCCACCAGAGCTCCCATTTTATAGGGAGTCTTAAATTTACAAACAAATAAAATCACTGACATTTTCATTTGATCCAACCACCTTTTAATCAAACGAAAAAAAATATTTTATGTTTAGAATCTGTGTTTTTCCAATCTATAGAAATCCCAAAATTCTCATATGACTCTAACTTTAATTTTGCAGCTGTTATGATTTGTTGTTGTTGTTAAGTTCGGTCAAGTTGTCACCAACTCGTAATGACCCATGCATAACAGAACAAAACACAGCCCAGTCCTGTTCAATCCTCACAATCATTGCTATGCTTGAGGCCATCATTGCAGCCATTATGTCAATCTGTCTCATTGAGGGTCTTCCCTTTTTTCATTGACCCTCCACTTCACTAAGCATGCTATCCTTCTCCAGGGAACAGTCCCCTCTGACATTATGACCAAAGTAGGTGAGATGAAGTCTGGCCATTCTTTCTTCTGAGGAGCATTTCGGCTGCACTTCTTCCAGGGCAGATTTGTTCCTTCTTCTGGCATCCATGGTATTTTGGGGATTCTTTGCCAACACCATAAGTCAAAGGCAGCAACTCATTTTCATTCTTCCTTATTCATTGTCCAGCTTTCATATGCATATGAGATGGTTGGAAATACCATGGCTTGGGTCAGGTGCATGTCATTATTTAAAGTGACATCTTTTCGCTCTTTAACACTTTCGAGAGGTCTTTTGCAGCAGATTTTCGCAGTGCCATATAATGTCTGATTGCCTGACTCCTCTTTCCATGGTTTAGCAGACTTTTTTCTTTTTTTTTTTCCAAAAAAATTACTTGGATTTATGGTATTTTTTATAATAGCTTTTTCACTTAAAAAAATCTATGCATATAGTTTTGCTTTTTTATATTTATTGATATGCTAGTATATCTTATTGTGTGTCTTAGAAAATTAATATTTTAAATCTAGAATTAGTAAACTGAGGCCTACAGGATAAATCCTGTCCACTATCTATCTATGTTAGTGTGACTTGCAAGCTATGAATATTTTTTACATTTTTTTTTAATGATTCAAAAAAAGAAAGAAAGAAACCATTTCATGACTGTGAAAATCATATGGAATTCAAATTTCAGTGCCTATAAATGAAATATATTGGAACACTATTATGCTCATTTGTTTATGTATTTTCTTTGTCTGCTTTTATGTCACAATGGAAGATTTGAGTAGTCATGACAGAGACCATATTTACCAAAATATTTACTATTGGCCCTTTGTAGAAAAGTCTGTTGACTCTGTTTTGCACTAGTACATGACCACGCAGTCAATCAACACACAAACCAGGGGAATAGCACTTTTAGAGATTTCTTCTGTGTGATTTCTTTAGCAAATATCATCTTTTTTTTTTTTTTTTTACTATTTTCTCATTAATATATTTTCTACAAGCTCTGGTAAGGCCATTGGTCATTAGCAAACTCTGTAGAATTAAGCAGTCACTTTTTGTGTTAAGGTGTGCTTTTCTTTCCTTTGTGGAAGAGAGATGAGGCAGTCTGCTCTTGTAAAGATTACAGCCTTGGGAGGCCTATCGGTGGTCCTACTCTTCTCCTACAAGGTCTCTAAGAGTTGGAATTGACTTGATGACAACAGGTTTGGTTTATTTATTTATTTTTTTCCCCCCTTTCATATTTTTTTCCCCTAATTTTTGAATTATTTAGAGTTCAGGAGTCTTATAATTTCTCACTTGAAATCAAATTAAATATCTATGAATAAATAGCAATGACTGAGAATCTGTAAAATTCAGCCTAATACATCTCTGATGTGTCTTTGTAACATTATTATGTCTGATTTCTAGCTACACTCTTTTCTAATGAAGAATGAAGACACAATATAGCAAACCAGGTCAAGCTTAAGTTGTGACCTTGATCAACTTTATATTTCAATTTAAATCTAGAAAAAATAAAACCACAAATATGGAAAATGAACCAAAAGAAAAAAAAAATGAATACCTTGAAAGTAAACATTATAAATAGTGCTTAAATGATACAAAATTATCATTTTCTAGTAATGTAACTTAATACTAGTCAAGATAATGAAAAGTCTTCAAAAACATGAATTTTCAGTAATTCACTGGTTGATGCTATAACTAAAAATAGTCTGAGTTCATGTTTCAAAAATTACCCCTAAGATAAGGAAGCCTAGCAAAGAAAAAAAAAAATGTAATTTTTCTACATTTAAAAAAATGTAAATGTTACCTCTGCAACATCATGAGCCTTCTTTAAGGGAAAGATAGAAGGGCAAAAAAAAAAAAAAGTTTTACATGTAGAATTTTGCTACAGTATTTTCTATGATATTGTTACTGAAGTATGTAGCTATTAACAATAGTGATGACTATATTTTATTTTTGGAAGGAAGACTGGGCAATCTACTTCAGTAAAAATTTACCGCCTTGGACCCCAAAATATTTTATTTTAAAGAAGTTTCTGAAAATCTTTAAAATGAAAATGCATACAGCATATTTCTAGAGGTTTATATTTAATTAAGCAAAATATAGCTTTATAACAGTAAATCAGAGATCACTTAGGAACATTAAAATGTGTATCTAGTAACGATGGGTTCAAATAAAAGTTCTGCTATGTGTTGTTCAACAAAGTAAACTTTCTGACTGAAAAGTAAAATAATAAAAAGATACTTTCTACTGTGTATTAAAAGAAATACTAAATGAATACCACCCTTTTATTGTTGTTACCAAATTTATTTAAACAGATAGCTTTGGAATTTTTAGTAAGGGCCTTTGGCCCTTAAAATAAATTATAAGCCAATTCAGAGGAGCAAAACAGAAAAAGATAACTAAACAGAAAAAGATTATTACCTCAAATACATGAACCTAAGAAGTGACATCTCTTCCTTAATGCTAAAAACAACTGATCTTGGAATGGAGAGAATGGAATGGAAAGAACATCGGAGGTAATCTAGCCCAAAGAGAGATCAAGAGATGGAAATTGAAATGGGTCCTCTAAGCCCTGTATGACTTCTCCCAGGTTATCTGAGATTCCATGTCAACTGTAACAATACTAGGCTAATCATTAAAACAAGTTTCATTTTTTAAAAAACAGACCATAATTATTTTCAATTATAATATCATCTTTGTAATTACCAGTGATGCCACCCACATTCAGCCAGCTTCCTTGATGCAACGGAACTCTGTTAAGAAATCTCAAAAATAAATTTTCTGTTTGCTTTCATTAATGGAACATCTATGGCTCTAGCAGACTAGACTGTGGATAAGACTCATGTCTGAAATTGAATGCTGTGACAAATTCTGCACAACTTTTAACCTTAAGCTCTGACTTCAAGATTGAAGATGTTGCCAAAAGATTCAGTCCTTTCTTCAGTTCTAATCAAAATATTTGGGATGAGACTACAGTTCCCAAAATAAAATTTTCTTTCTACCTTTCTACATCTAAATATAAGATATTTTTTCATTTCATTTTGCTGTTTTGAAAATATTTCCCAACCCCAATCCTACCCATCACTGGAACAACAATCACTAGACGAGCTTTACTGGAGGCCACTTTGTGTTATGAACACATTATTAGGCCATCTTGTGTCATGAAAACATTATTAAATTAAAATGACTCGTTCATGCTTACCCAAAAGGCAGCATTTGGAGTCACTTTAAGTGGCTTCAGTGCTGGGCACTTACCCAAGTCCTCGGTCCTGTGGAGTCAGCTGTCCTCCATGTGCCTGTTCCTGCTGCATGTGACTGAGTGTTCAAATGCTTGGCCTCACCAAACTCTTTCAGAAAAGGGTCATACCTTCAAATGAGAGAAGAGCCATTCATTATGAGAAGTCTTGAAAGAGAAAAACAAAGGAAAGAAAGAGAAATCTGGAATTTAGACAAGGAAATACTTCCACAGGTCTCAGAAGGTTTTGCAAGACTAATCATCGCCAACATGAAACTTGAGCTCATCTTTTATAGACTTTTGCTTCCTTCCAACTATGTCTCTTTCAATTTTCATTTCATTCTCTTACTCCTTTTGCTTTTTTATAATCTCCTGCTTTTGATCTCCCATTTTTATACTGTACAGATGTCTTGAGTGGTATGTGTGAAGTGAGCCATAGTCAGCCTGATGAGGGAAATCCTAGAAAAAAAAATCATAGAATAAGAAACAAGCCCTGAGATTGGATCAGGAATTAGCCTGCATGGTTATCAATGTCCCGTTGTGCTTCATGAAAGATGCCTGGCTCTTTCAATACGACACTTCATGTAGTGATGAAAATGGGATATGGAATATCATCATGAAAACTGGTTGGATTGGGATAATAATTTTCAAGAGGCCGTCAATGCAAACAAACCCAACAGGACCCAATTGTAAAGAATGAGCTAGACACCGAAACTGCTTCATAATATCTGCTATTGTTTACGGGCCTCCAAACAACTCCCACCCCAATCAGCCTTTGGACCTTTGCATCCAGTTTGGATGTCATCTAAGCTTCGCCCCCCGCCCCCGCAATAGCTATTATGATTTCTCATTAGGAAGAAAGTTGTAAATTGGGATTTGGGTGTCATGGGGAAAGCTTTTGAGATGTGATGTTTTAGGCCATTCTAAAGTTATATTTTATCCACTACTGTGCTTGGGATAATTGTGCTGAAGATTGAAGCTCGTTGTGTCAATTTATATTACTCCATCTGTTGTTTAATAATAATGGCTACTCTGAAAGAGCACATTGCTATGTCAGGAGTACCACTAGCTTCTACCTTTATAAGATGTTGTTTTGTTCAATTGGCTCAGGGACATTTAACAACATTTACCTTCTCAATTGCTTCTGTGGTAAAAGTAAGTTGCCTATGGCTACTGTGGACTGAGATTAAAATCCTAGCCTTTTAAGATTCTAGTCAATCTCCTGAATCAAAATCTTTCCCTAAATGATAACTGATTTTAAACCTAATATAACCATCAAAAAATAATAACTGGGGCTACTCACATTGCCTTTTATATCCTGTTAATATTGAGAGAGAGTTTGATTTTTCTATATCAAAAATAAACAAGCATACTTGTAATACAATTCTATCTATTAGTAAATAAATATGAGATACATGAACGTATTGATTTTCAAATACCATTAATATAAACTTCTTTGTCATTTTTATGGTTAGGAGCCTTTATTAAAAATATAAACACTGTCCTAGGAAACCTCTTTCAATTCTTCCTAATTATATTGTCAGGGACTATAGCCTTTCCCTGCTCTCCAGAGGCACAGGTCTGTTTCACTCTACAATGAAGCTTTTAAGCTAAGTTTTTTCAAGCAATGTTTCAGGTTTTACTCTGAATATATATCTACCATATCCTTTATCATTTTAAAACTTAAAAAGAAAATGCAACAGATTAAAGTAACAATTAATAAATTCTGTCAATTATAGAAAAAAAAAAAATCAGTAGCTTCTATCCTATGAGAAAATAAGCATTTCATAAATATTGACCACCACTACCCACATACTGTATAAGGTGGTTAGCTAAAAAGACAGTAATTCTATTTGAGACTTTCAGCAAGGAAAGGATAAAATAGCTGAGATAAAGGAGCTGACATACTTGTTATTTAAAAAAAAACTTCTAAAATGTGGTGTATAGCAATTTCATACATTCTACAAAATTCCAAGGAAAATTGTACCAGTTACCTGAAAATTCTGAGAGCATTCAAGGGATTTTTTTTTTTTTTTTTTTTCCGTCTTACAGGCTGTGTGACTTAGTTGAATATCTGTTTTCTTGTGTACACAGCATAGGTTTATATCAGGGAATAATTTTAGCCATAGGAAATATTCATCAGCATCTCATAGCACCAGAATGGGAGATCTGAGCAGTTGCTCAGACCAGAAAAGGACTTGCTGAATGTTTCATAATCAAAGGAAAGGTGACCAATGCCTTTTAGTTCCTAAAGAAGGTTGAATTTAGACTAAGAAGGCACTCTAACTACTTACTGTCTTCTCTATCCAGACAGCTCATTTCTAACTTCCTTTAAAAGTCATGTAACTAAGCTCTCAGTGACTGAATTACTCCAGCTATAAAATGAAAGTACAAAGCCCTCCTTGTCCCATGACACTGTAATAAAGTATAGTTAATAAGTCAGCCCTTGAGGATCTTGCTTACAAGAGAATTACATCCTCTATTTCATTCAATATAAGCACCTTTTCTATAAGGGAAATTAAGATTGGATTTGTCTTTGTATTACTGGCCCAAGGAGCCCTAGGTCATGTAGTGATTAAAGCACTCAGCTACTAACCGAAAGGTTGGCAATTTGAACCCACCAGCCACTCCATCAGAAACAGATGTGGCAGTTTGCTTCTGGAAACACTAAGAGCCTTAGAAATCTTATGAGTCACTTTTACTCTATCCTATAGGGTCTCTATGAGTTTGAATTGACTCAGTGGCAGTGGGTTTGGGGATTTATTATTGACTCTCTGGTGGCGTAGTGCCTAAGGCACTTGACTGCTAACCAGAAGGCTGGAAGTTCAAACCCACCAGTCACTCCTCGGATGGAAGGTTGGGCAATCTACTTCCATAGTGATACTGCCTCGGAAACCCAAGGAGGGATCGCTATGATTCAGGTCCGACTCAAAGGCACATAACAACAACAGCAAGAGTCTAATGTAGATGATGAAATTGACATTCACCTACAATATGTGTAATGGGTAGGGGATGAAAGCTGATTTTTACTGTTTTCTCACAGAAAGTCATCTCTCAGTGAAGGAACACCCCAGGGCTCTTGTCCTCTTCATATTGCTATGTACACTCACTCTCTGGGTGATTCCATCTTATAGCACTAACCTGGTTTTATAGCACTTATCATTTTCTAACACAGTGTGTAACATATTTATTTATAGGTCTTCTACCCCCTTGAAACACACTTAAATGTAGGCACCCTAAGGGATATCCTGACTCATTAATGTATTCTCAGTACTCTGAAGAGTGCTTGGCACAGAACAAGCACTCAGTAATATTTATTGAACAAATGAATGAAAGAAGAGAGACAATAAGGGATTACAGAATATGTACATAGACCTTTATGACAATCTGAGAGAGGGTAAATATATGTCCTTTCCAAAGTTAAAAGAAGATAGACATGTATCAACATGGGTGAAGGTAAAGTCAATGTACAATAAGGTCAACACAAAAAGATCAAGACAAAAGAATACACTGGAAGGAGCACAAGAGCTAAAGACAACAGAGCTAAATACTGTGACACACACAATCCTACAACAACACTAATAACAGGAATCTACCAGTGGATATAGCATAGTGGCTAAGACACTTGCCTGCTAACCAGGATACAGTGGGAGAAAAATGTAGAACAAAACTCAAAATCATAAGAAATGATCAGGCTTGTTGGTCTGATAGGGACTAGCGGAACTGCTAACATTATGATCCTTAGTCACTTTACAATCACAGAACTGAACTCACAACCCCCTCACCCAACCCCACGCTAGCTCAACTTTGAGCCAAAAGACAGACAGTCCTATTAGGTGAAGAGTAATGCCAGCCAGTACACTCCTTAGGACAATCAACCATAGGAGATCAAAAGGGCAGCATTTACCCAGAGATAAAGCCCAGAAGCCAAGAAAGAATAGGAAAGAAGGATTAATAACTAATGGAACTGAGAAACACAGGGAAGAAGTAGGAAGAACACTGTTATATTGTAAGGATTGCAATCAATATACAAAACAAAGTGTGTATGAACTGATGAATGGAAAACTAATTTACTCTGTTAACATAGTGTCCTACTAAGCAAAGTTTTAGATTCACGTAAGAAAATCCTAATAAAACAAATATAAGAACTTTGTCTCTCTAAACCTCTATGCCTGATGAAATTTTTAGCATATATCCAAATGCCTAACCTCATTTCAGGAGCTCTGGTAGTGTAGTGCCTAAGGCACTTGACTGCTAACCAGAAGGCTGACGGTTCAAACCCACCAGGTTGGGCAATCTACTTCCGTAATGATACTGCCTTGGAAACCCAAGGAGGGGTTGCTATGAGTCAGGTCTGACTAGATGGCACATAACAACAACAGCCTCATTTCAGAGTTCTTTTTTTGCTTTTAAAATGGACTCATAATTATATGACAACTATATAGGAATTCATAATATATAAATTAGTACCATCATAGATTCCAACTCACTTTACTTTTTCATTTTCAACTAATATATGGGTATCTCATAGATACAGCTGAATGGATTTCTTTCTGCAGAGTTGAATTGTAAAGGCAGCTATAGTTTTTTCAGGTACTTGCAAAATCATTTGTGGCCTGTGTATTCTCATATACAAATAAATTGACTCTGATGTCCTAATGGAATTTCAGACCATGCAACACTGTAGACAAATTATTAAAACAGATTCAGCTACACTTGAAGGAGAGTCCAAACAAGCTTCATACATAAGTGCAGTCTATTTCTTAGCTCAACAAGTAATTTAGCCAAATATTTCTAGTCTCAGGAGTCCAAAAGCTGAATAAATTAGTCTTACTTCTTGATCAGCATAAACTGTTAGCAAACAGCTATAAGGCTAGATTAAAGTTTCAATGTATTGTAGGTATTATTATACCTCAACAAAGGAAAAGTTATTTAAGGATGTTAAATTTATTACTTAAAAGATTATCACTGGGAATACTGTTGTATTGTTGCTTAAACAGCCCATAATACTTAAACGTCTGTTTTTTTTTTTTTTTTCCAGATAATTTTAGAGATTTCCTTTATATACAAGATTTATTGATATATTCTACATGCTTTCAATGAAGAATTCATGATGATTACAGCATATATAGTACTGTAATTTCTTGGTAGTTATTTATTTACAGATGATC